CTCTTATTTTATTATTAGAACGGCGCCAGTGCACCAACGCCCACGTCTAAATCTCGGCAGAAAGCTGAGAAACCACCTTGACTCTTTCATCGCACAGGCGCAATCGCAAGTAGATTGGATGCTGAACGAACACGTGAACGATTACCCACGTTTTTGATTAGATTTAGATTTATGACGGAATCTTCGCGAGCTGTGACTGCGATTTTAACGAACTCGAGCTTTGTGTTTGATCCTCTGCTCTTGTGAAACGAAGGGCGTGTCGCGAGCAGTGTTAGTGTCGGATGCTAACATTGTAGGGGACAGATATCTCATATAAAGCGAGAGATACGATACTGAATTACTTCGACAAGAAATGAGGAGAGGATTATGCTATACGAAGATTTCATTGAATGTTGGAGAACTATGCATGTACCCATACATAGACCTATATGTGCGTATATATATATATATATATATATATATATATATATATATATACATGTTGTATATATACATACATACATATATATATATATTATATTTTAATAAGGGAATATATATAAGCGAAGAAATTTATTACTTCTGTAAAATAATATCGATGCGAAGGTGTGAATCGGTGGTGTGAATCTCAGGCGGTCGGGTTGTTTACAAAGCACACGAGATAGCTTTGGAGAATCGACCAGCCGAATGACCACAGAGACAGATCTCCGGATTGCTAGGAGTTGCTCAACAGTACGTAGTTCCAAACTAACGACTGCGGAGTCGCCTGAAGGTGCCTCACGAACAACCCTATTGACAAACAATCTTTTGATCATTGCCTCATGGCCGGGTTCGGATTCGCATCGCCAGAAGAAATGAGAAACGCTTTCTATTCCTCCACCTTATGTGGTTGGACCGATTGGCCGGAATAGGCGCTATAAATGACTTGGGACAACGGGGTCACATAAATTGTGGAGCGGGCCTTTTCAGTGAGACATTTTTTCGTAACCTTGTTGAGAAGAATTGTAAGTGCGTGATATGGGGTTTCCTTATCGATCGCCGTTTCTTCGAAAGTTGTTCGTGTAGAGCTTCACTGAGCGAAACCTGTATTTCTTATCTATCAGATTCTGAGTTAATCATTCTTTTCCTGTTCTTCCTTGTCTGTCTTCCCTCTAGTTTTCTTACAATCCTACATACAGCTTCCGTGCGTGTAGTGCGCATTACGCGTCTACAATATATAGTTATAAAAATAATCATTTTTGCAGAGAATGTCACCATGAAACCAAAATTAATGTTGCGCCCTCCCTCCCTTAGCGGTGCTGCCATCTTATATAATTGCCGTTTTTCGCCACCGATGGCTGCTGCCACGACGTAAGAAGGCCGACGTTGTATCGTAAAGTAAGACATAAATTATTCTTAATAGCCATCGGCAAATTTTCGCGGAATTAATCGAGTAAAGCGGATGGCATCCTATTATAGCGGCAGGTGTATGCGCGAATACTAAACGAAACAGTTTCTCTTCTTTTCGAACAGTAAAGATGTACTGTATGTGGAATTTCTAAAATTTAACCGTACTCTTGAAATAATGTTCAACTAAATAATGTAAAATGTATGTATGTATGTTTAATGTTGATGTAATTTTTGTGTTACTCTGCAATCATTAAAAATATTTTTAGTTCGCAAATGTTCTTTTTTCAAAACTCGTGACCCGTACAAGTCGACATCCTTGGTATATTTTGCAAGCTTGTACCTGGATAGATAGCTCGACCATAAGCCGACATCTACCAATACAAAGTTTTTGGCAGATACAATTGCATACTGGGTAACCACTGATCGGTAAACCCATGCGACAGGAGTGTGATTTTGTGTGAATTATTGATGGATTTTTAGTGTGTCAACGCATCTAATTCAATGTGTGTACATTGTAAACTACAGCCTGTGTAATATACTTCGAAGGCATGCACGTGGTGTATACACGTACATAGTATGCACAATCTTCGTTGAATTCACTCTTACACAAAATACCGTCTTGAATGAAGTTACTAGAGTCGATTCAGAGTAAATTACGAAGCGAACCGACTGCCCCCGATTGTGTAGCAAAATGCAAATCGAATCACGTACGCGTGTGTAAAGAATAGCATAGCTCGCACCAACCTATAAAGGTTATCCTTAAAATGTCAATACACTATATATATATATATATATATATATATATGCGTGCGTGCGCGCGTGCGTGCGTGTGTGTACGTGCGTATGCGTGCGCGTGGTGCGTGTGTGCGCGTGCGTGATGGAACGCGTTCCGACAGCCATCATCAGCGGGTGAATTTTGACAGGTACAATCTACCTTCAAAACCAGTAAGCTTGTTTTACGTCATTGTCGTTGGTATTAACATTTTTTGTCTTTAACAAATAGAAAGATGTCGGCAGAAGAATTTCCATCCCAGACGGTTAAAATTGTTATTCCGCCCAGAATACAATCGTCACGCCCAAACATCGTTTGTCTACGAGGTTTCGTCTTCTAATAAAATCGTCAAAACCAAAAATCGTCTGTCTGCGAGATTTGTCACCTAATAAACCCATTAAAACAAAACACCGTTTGTCTGCAACACTTCAACTCAAACATTGTTGATGTTGACGGCGACAACCATGACGTAGACAGTGCCGTTATTTGCGCGGAATACCTACAAACCGCCCCCAACGACGAGTAAAGACGAGTACCTAGGACTCTGTCTCTCCGAATCACAAAATAATTTTCTAAAAGGATGTTACTCGCATTCGACCGGACTGCTGATCGTTAACTTCTAATAACACGAGGACACGATCGTATTTACATATCGCGCATGGGAAACGACGGTTGATAAATTATGCCGCCAGATGTCGCTGGCTACTGTCGGCGGATTCTGCTTGAAATTCAGCAGCGCTGCAAGAAGCTTTCGCGAAGGAATTAGCCGTTGCTCGGTGCCATGACAACTAATTAGGGGATACGAACTTGTTGACGAGGGAGTGCGCGAGAATTTCGATGCTGTCAGCGGCGTGAAATACTAGGGCTCGCCGTGGAAAGCGCCAGCGCCGTGGCTGACACGTGTTAACTACGCTAACGTACGCGTAAACATCTGATCATCTCGCGCATGCGCATGTTCTCCCCGGCATTTACAATGCATTCCGAATGAGATAGTTAACGCGTACATGCTCTTTTCGGCAGTAACGCGGAATTTTAAATGAGATATGTAGTTAACGTGCCCATTTCACTGACACGTCACTGCTATGCGTCCCTAACCACACACGCGTCTCCACACACGCGGCGCGGCACGGCACGGAACGCCACGGAAACGGTGTCGTTCACCCCTACCGGCAAAGTTCAAATCGATTATATCTTATGGCGCAGTCTCCACTGACACGGCACGGTGCCAGCCCGGTTTCACGGCGACGACGAAAGTCAAATGAGTTTAACTTTTGCCGGCTGCCGTATACGGAGAAAGACGCGATTGTTTTTTATCACGTGTTCTGCTCACGCCACCATCAGCCAATCGACAACAAGCACATGCATAATTTCTGATCACTGAACCAGAGTGAACGCAATGCGCTCATATACAATGCGCGAAATCACAATGTTGTTTTCCACAACGGCGCAGCGTTTTGCTGTGTCGTGTCGTGCCGCGTGTGTGGAGACTTTTTATAGCCGAGTTTTTACTACGCGCATAAAACTAACCGTGCGACGGACGTGGGTGAGATGACAAGTACACATCCAACGAGCTTCGCTAACGAATGGTTGTTTTGCTCAACCTTTGGTTATCTCTCTAGTGCTGGTCAGCGAACGACATTGTGAACAACACTGCGGGGATGTGTCCGGGTTGTAGGGAAGAGCGCGTGATCATGAGAAATTCATTACCGCGCTAGGAATTGTACAGGGTATGGACGCAGTGCCCGTGCGGCTTATACATTGTTGGGTATAGGTTAGCAACTACGCTCTAAAGAAACTATCGGAGAGGTGCTACTTGCATGGACACTTGTCACCACGTAGGCACGTACACAAACAGACAGACAGACAGACACGCGCGAACGCACGCACACACCCACACACACATGCGCGCGCGCACGCACGCACGCACGCACGCACACACACACACACACACACACACACACACACACTGTTATCGGAACCACGTCTGTTTACAAACCACACGAATATATCGCATGTTCGTATTGTAATCTTATAAATGTCGTGTATATTGCCTTGTATAAAACAATTTAGCCAACTAATGTTTTCAGTATAACAACATCAAGTTACCCCTTTTATCCGTACGATGTAATGGGTATCATAGGAAATGGCAATTCCGATATGAGACGAGTGTGCATGTAGTATGCACACGATATCAGCACGTACTTAATTACTTACCTAATATCTTACGAAAATTCTCAATTTGAAATTTCCCAATAAATCACATTCCACAAAAAATCGCAACGCAGAACAATTTTAGAGAACTTATTATGTAGATGTATTACGTGCAGATTTCATACAGCGTTTTCTACCAACAAGCGCAACTATGCACTGTCCCTCAGCCAATACTTAATACCGTTACTCAAACTTACTTATAGTGAGTCAATTTAAAGTATTTTGTAATTAATTATCACATTAAATTTTTATCATTAAATAACCAATACACATACGGTTAAAAGCGTTTATTATGATTCGTAAATGTGCGCATGCTGCAATATAGATGTTTCTAATACTTCTTTAGGCCGAGAAAAATTTCACGGCAACGTTAATTTCATAACGCACGCATTCTCATTAGATATCAACGGAATAGCATTACTTATGTTATAAAATTTCGGCTTATCGTGCCTTCTCAATAACAGACTCCCTTCTGTAACGCGAGATTACTGTGATGTATATAAGTACACTATATATAAACAACCGCAGAAACAAAATTCCTACGCAGCAATATAAATATATATTGCTGGGTAGGAATTTTATTTCTGCGGTTGTTTATATACTGTTTATATATATTATCAAGAGCTACAAAATACCTATTAGCTATTTATATATACCTATTAGCTATTAGGTATTTATTATAGCTCTTGATATTATCTATATATATATACACACATAGTAAACAAATCTCGCCCTGGTTCTCGTTCCGCCACCCTACCCCTTACCATCAAACACTCGTCACATTAAATCACACTAGTACAATAAATTATAACCGCATTTTACTGCGTCAATGTGGCGGCTCCAGCTTAGTACCGTAGCCGCCGGATTATAGACAACGCGTTTGCGACGAAAAATGTTTGAACGATTTCGCGTCACAATCACTACCATTGCATCCCGGACTTCGTGCCGAGATGCGGGACGGGCGGATGAGGATGAGGCGGCTCCCCTATATCTCTCCTCGAGCTGTTCGCGGGAAATATATATATATAGACCATTGTGTTCGAAGGCCGGAGTGCGAACGCCGCACGAGCCGCCACACGACGTAAATCATGGCGGGTGTATCACTGGAAGGAGAAATGCGAGATCAGGTCCTGGGCATTTACCGTAGCGGCTTCGACAGCGCGCCAGCCTCCTCGCCCTCTGCTATTACCCAGCGCAGAATCCTGTGATAAATCGGGAAGCCACGTGCGGCCAGCGTCACTCCACTTTCTTCTTCCCCTCGTCCTTCTCCACCTCGTGTTCGTAGGAACGGCCAAACTCGTTGACTCTTGTCTTGTCCACCGGGTACAACCTGCAACAGAGAGAGAGAGCGGGCGCGTGAGCGAGAGTGTGAAAGTGTGCGAGGGGCGAGGGGCGTGATAGGAGGGAGGAAGGGAGGGAGGGAGGGAGGGAGGAGAGAGTAGGCAGGGAGAAGAGAGAGAGAGAGCACGAGAGAGAGAGGGAGAACCCAGCGAGAGACGGAGGAGGAGAGAGACGAGAGAGAGAGAAGAGCGAGCAGAGACGAGAGAGGAGAGAGAGAGAGATAGAGAGAGAGAGAGAGATGAGAGAGAGACCGAGAGAGAGAAGAGAGAGAGAGAGAGAGAGGAGAGAGAGAGAGAGAGCGAGAACGAGAGAGAGCGAAGAGATGAAGGGCATGAGCAGAAGAGAGGCGACGAGAGCCGAGAAGAGCGAAGGAGAGCGAGAAGCGAGCAAGCGAGAGAGAGAGAGAGACGAGAGAGAGAGAGACGAGAGAAGAGAGAGAGAGAGAGAGAGAGAGAGAGAGAGGAGAGACGGAGAGAGACTGAGAGGGAAGCGGAGAGAAAAGAGAGAAGAGAGAGAGAAGACAGAGAGAGAAGAGAGACTCCAAGAAGGAGAGGCGAGAGCATGGGGTCACCTCTGCTCCAGCAGAGCTCTACTACCGAGGTGGACGGCCCCAGAGAAATGAGGCCAGCGCACGGAAAATCAGAAGCAAACGCAGGCTAGGACGGCTGCTATCCCCCGAAGGCCTCACTCAGTTATATAATATATATAGTAATATGGTATAGGAACAACGGTCCCCCACCGCCCCCACGACCCATCAATCCATACACCCCGCTTGCGAGATCCACGACACTTGAATTGCGCCAGAGATTGACCGGGATGAGAACGTCGTGGGGAGAACGCGTCTGGGAGGAGCGTGGCAGTGGCGGCCGCCCGGGTTCGGCGGCGACGACGCCGAAGAAGGGTAGGCACGGGGGGCGGTGGGGGGGGGCGAGCGCGGGGGCACGCGACTGGAACACCGTGGGGCGGTATTGGTCTACGCGGGTTGCGGGGGGCAGCACAACTCCACTGGTACAAGCAGGCGAGTGGCGACGGGTTGGGGGGGGGGGGCCCACACACGCACTCACGGGACACGCGCACGCCACACACCGCGACGCACGGCACGCATCGGACACACGCATACGCCGCACAGCACGCACGCACACACACAGCACACACACACCACACAAATTGACACGCTACCCTGCATCGCGCAAACGTACTTAATAGCGAGCTTATTTCCCATCTATTTTGCGAAAAAAATACACAAGATCGCGAGGACAGTGTCTACAGGGGTGGGAAGGAGAATCGTTTTGACTTCAGGCTTCGTCTGCTGTCTGCTGACCTATTGTGTGTTACAACTTCTATTCGCCCGCCATTCTGAATCGCATACAGAAAATGAAGCCTTACACGGTGGCCACCCACCCGTCATCACAGTAACATTATCATCTCGGAGGGATCAGCACATACATATTTGCCCGCTCCTTATAAAACACTCGCTGCACCTCCACGACGCGATTTTTATCTTTAGTTATTCATTTTACAATGGCGTCTCGGCAATTTGCCATTACCTCATGCAAATTCGCATCGGCAACGCACGCTGGATAAATATTAAACGTTGCGTAACGACATTGTCTCGTATGCAACACGACATCTTCGAACATGTCCGTTTAAAACTAGCCGCATCTTCTGAAAGCAGCACCCACCCTCGAACAGCACCGCTGAAATTTAACGGGTCATCTACTTTCCCGTTTCCCTTGTTCCCCTGGTCTCGCTCAAGGCCTATTCTTCCTTTCCGCTCTCAGTGTCGTTCCTGCGTTTTTCTTCCCCGTTTTCTTAACCTCTTCCCACACGCAAACTAACTAAAATTATCAAAGCTTTTTTACGTAGCGTCGCCCGCGGCCTAAAAAAGGTGCTCGCAAATGCGATATTTATCTCGCGCGAAGTCAATCTTTTTGACAAGAGTCTGCTTTCCCATCACGAACGACAACGTTTCTATTCCTAGCCGAATCAGATTATACTGTGATAACTTCTATAAAGAAGACATCACTGCTTCAATAAACTAACTATAAACTAGGAGTAAAGGCTTTTGCATGAAAGGTCTTACTTAAACCACTGTATAGAAGCATCAGGGTAAACGCGTTCATTTTGACTGGAAACGGGGAGATTAATAAATCAGAATATGTGGAGCGAAATCGCGGATGGATCTATTACGACAGAGGTGAGTTTATGATTTTTGTGTGTATGACTGCATTTGGTGGAGTTAGGAGACGAAGAGAGTATATCCGCTATTATAATGGTGTTGGTGGTTATAACCTTAATTGTTCTTCTCAGTAAATATCCATCTATTATATAGTGTCTTAATATAAGAACGCGATAGAAAGCGTCACGGTGACTCCTGTAAGGGTGCACCACAAACCTGCTAAACAGCTGTGTAAACAGCGTCGAGTGCAATGAAGCGAAGCATTCCCGTGAACTTTCCATATGGTCAATACCTGTCGCTCTGCTCATGTAAACCGCTCCAAGATGTATAAATTCTTATTACTTATGTTCTCTCCTCTCTACTCACTCTCATCTCTATCTGCTATCTGCTCTCTCTCTAATATAGTATATATATATATATATGCTACCTTCAGTCTTTTAACTGGTGGGAGGTGGTGGGAGTGTGGTGGGCGGTGCCCTATCTCAATCTCCTTCCCCTCTTTCCCCCCCTCGCGATATCAATATTAATAGCCGTTTTTTCTATATGCATTCTGTCACTGGCGGGGAGTTATTATACCTAAAGTTTTATGTGCTGTTGCAAACGTAAGTGTTGTTGGGCGCGCATCTCTGTGAGAGCAAGGCACTGTTACACACACTAGTTTTCCCGAGGTAATGGATTTCAACAATCAAAAGATGCGTTATATCCTGAGCAAATAAGAATTTAAATCATGCTAACTATGTTGCTGTATATGATGGAAGTCGCCCTATTTCATAAAATAGAAGGAAGGAATTTGCATGTAAAAGCGACTCGCTGACCCGGTTTAATTTCAACATATACATGTTTAATCGTTTCAAAAAGAGGCAGAAAGCATTCTCGCTCGAAGCTATGGTGTCCGATTTGAGGTGTTGCCTAATGCGATTATTACCAAGTTAGAGAGTTGCTTATTTTGTGAAGATGAAATATGCACCATTTAGATAAAGTCGCTATATAGGGTGGTATCTCGCCTAGATATCTGTAATTAATTGTTATCAAGTACACCTGTGTTTCTATTAGGAGAGCGGCCCTAGCTGTAGGTCGGCTGCGATTGCAAAAGTCATGACCTCGACTATCACGGGCGCTCCTTTATTATCGTGCCTTCATCCGCGGTTAGCTGCATTGTCTCCCTGTCCGTCGCTCTAGCTAAATTCTTCTCTACGCCAGTCAGCTGTCTTCGCCTGGTCAGTTTTCTTAAGTCTGCTTACCGAAAAAACTCTCTCCCAAGCAAGCGATATTATGAGTTTTTTTTAGATCTGTCTACACGTGAACGAGTGTTCGGCATGAAGGGCAGTTATCAGTTTTACACAGAAGAAGAAGATGGTAAGTAGTGTTGACAAGGCGAGAATTTTCTCGATCCATTCGAAAATTAAAAAAATGAAGAATTAATAATAGCTCGAAGATTATCGGATTTATGTGATAGAAATGCTTATCCTAGTATATTCAGGATCTCTCTCTTAATATGATAACGACGCAAGTAGAGTCTAGCTGCTAAGTCTGCCGTGTCATAATATCCTCATTGTATGGCAATAACCTGGACTAGATGTACTCGAGTGTGTTGTACGCTACTCGCATACAATATCTCACTCTAGCGTGATCTGTTCTATTTTTCTTTGTGGATTTGATAGTATAGCGTTATGAAATATATAAGCGGTGATTTTAAGGTCGTATGGTTTAATCTAATATTACAGCGTCATAAAGATATCTGTAAATGCAGTTCGCTTAATCAGTCACAACACTGTTTTGCATACTCATTTATATCTATAGGGGAAAAGCCCATCGCTAGCCTTGTATGTGTTGCAAATACGGAGATAGTATCCGCCTCACCACTTTCTCAGATCTGTCCATTGTCCTCCATGTCTGGTTCGTCGAAGTCGTGAAAATATTATTATCTCCATACAGTTATCCTCCATATCTCAGGTATATTTCCGTGCCCGCTTTTCCCTCAGTTTCTTAACGCTTCTCCTCTCTCAGCCGTCGCGCTATTCTATTATGAGCTCTTTCTTTCGGTGTACATAGGCCATTAAAAATAATACCAGGGTTGAACTATGGGTGAAATTATGAAGTCAATAATATTACAGAATAGTAAATAAGTTATTGCTGAAAAGAAGAGTATGAGAGATT